TCATGGCTTTGAAGTCTGCCTTTTCCTCCTCGAGAAGGATACATTTCTCTTCTGATCCATTGCCTTTGGTTTTCACTAACACCAGAACCAACGGATTTCTGTTGACTTTCTTCGATTGTTGGTCGGACTGTTTGATCTACTTTGTCATTTCTCCTTTTATTTCGGCTCTCGATCTTCTTTATTTGCTCTGACTTGAAAGCTTTAGCAGCCGATTTATCGAACACTGCACTGCATCGTGGGCATAACGACACATCTTCGTCTTTTTCTTTCTTCCTATTCAAAAATTCAATGAGAGAATCTCCTGATCGAGGGTATATTTCCTTTTCGAACTCTCTCTCGAATTCACTCAGGTCAAATTCCATATCCTCCTCAGACACGTCCATTCTAACGTGCTTAGGATCGATGTCTTCGATGACATCTACCATGCCTATAAAGGCCAAATTTGTTAATCGGACATCATCGGTAATGCCTGTTTGGGATTCGAGATATCCAACTTGGGCCTCGAATGGACTCGTGTCAACTTTCATTGTCATTTCTTCGAACCTCAACCTTCCTTGGTCAATCGCATCTTGGATGGTGTTCACGAAATGTATGCAATTGTTAGTCCAATGTCCAAAAACATTATGAAATTTACAATATTTTCGACCATTCCTTTGTTACTGCGAAGGCAGTTTATGATCTTCGCTCAACTTAATTTGTTTGTCTTTTAACAAAACATCGAAGATTTTATCGGCTTTCGTCACATCGAAAGTATATGTTCGATTTGTCATTTTATCTTTCACTTCATTCTTTTGTAGCAGTTTACAAGTATATGGAACCCCTACTTTGAGTTACTGCTATGTTTACTTTCTCATCGACAGTTTCTTCAATATCACTTTCTGTCATGTTATCTGTCTCATATACATCATTTATGTATGCTATTCTTTCCTTTTTTAAAGGTTTCTCATATTTCTTATACCTTTGTTTCTCATATTCTATTTGTTCCACTCTTCTTACTTTATCAGCTAATTGAGCCATGTCATTCAATGGTAAATTGACTAGTTTTTTCCTAATCGAGAATTCTAAACCTGCAGAGGCCATTCTGACTAATTCATATTCAGGAATTTGAGTGAAGCATCTCGATTTCATTTGTCTAAATCGATTCAAATAATCATCTATGCTTTCATGATTGTATCTTTTTATATTCATCAAGTCGATGAGGCTCACTTGAGTTTCTCCTCTAAAGAATTGCTCATGAAAATTTCTTTCCAATTGCAGCCAATTATATATCGAATTGGGTGGCAATGCCGTAAACCAAGTAAAAGCACTCTTAGTCAAAGAACTAGGAAAATATTTCATTTTTAATTCTTCACTCATCGCTAAATCCCCGCATTCGATCTGATATCGAGCCACATGCTCGATAGTCGATTCACCAATTTCCCCAGCAAATTTAGTGAATTTGGGTACTTTATATCCTCGAGGCAATTCTGTCTCGAGAATCGCATTCGGAAAGGGAGACACAAAATATGTCTGATTGGGTGGTCTAAATTCCATCCCTTGTAAATTCATCCTTTGTCCTAACATGTTATTCTGATTGTGTATATTTTGAAATCCTTCGTTCAAATTCCCATACGGGTCATTCCTCACATGTTGGTACTCATTTCCCATATGCTGCTGTTGATCATTGTTTCTATTTCTTCTCAATAGATATGGGGGATTAATATTAGTATTCTGATTAGCATGATTTTCTATCCTCGTTTGTCGAGGCACAACCAATGCATCCCCGATTCGTGACATTTGGTCTGCTAATATCTCAAAGCTAGCAGTAGTGTTTTGCACTAATGGATTTAAGACTGTAGTCAACTGTTGTGATAACATATTCACCATCTCAAAATTACTCTCATCCATTTGTTGTCTAAGTATTCCTAATGAATTACTAGATATTCCGGTACCCATGTTTTCGATAGAATCAAAATTAGATCGATGATAGTCTCTATCGAATACATATCTCCCATGATCTAAGTATCCCCTCTGATCTAGATTTGGAGGTATCTGTTGTGTGCCTACATTCTGTCCATTCCCTGAATCCTGTGGAATTACTAAATTTTGCGACGTCCCTAAATTCGGAGGGATTCCAAAATTTTGTGGCATACCTAGTGTTTGGGACATTCCTAAGTTATATCTCGAATTCCTATGCGTTGAAGAAGTTCCAACCCCACTCATATTATTAAGTGAAAACCCGGGCGGTCTTATACTCATACGTGGCCCTACATATGTGGTTGTGGGATTTCCTATAGTTTGCATATTATTTGGTATCACCGTGCTAGATCCTACTTGGGTGTTTGCTAATGTACCTGGATTTTGTTCACTACTCACAGGTATTGACATGCTCACAGTTGTCGATACTACAGGTATGTTCCCATTATGACTTTGCCCCCCAGTATTTGGTGGGTGCGACCCATTTAATCCCTCACTGTTACCTTGGTTATTTGATGAACTCTAACTCATGACTCTCCCACTCCTTAATCTCATACAATTTCGAACTAACCAATTTTGTGTTTTTCGACACAAGAACCCCCTACCTGGCGCGCCAATTTGTTTCTGGTGGAATTTCGATCGATTTCGATTCTAAGGGTATTTTGGTCTTTAATCGAAATCCTCCCACGTAAGCTCTTTTACTTAGGCTAGCAATTTGATTTTCAATCGAAAACGTGTATGAGAGTCGAAAACTACAAGATATCGAAAATGCTGTTTTTGGGTATTTTGTATTTTAAAGTATCGAAAGCAGTAAAAGTATCGAATCAAGAAACTGTTAAATTGCAAGAAAATGTAAAGAGCGAAAATCCCAATTTGCATCAATTGTAAATGACGAGGAATCGAAAATAGTGCGAATATAAATGACAAGAAATTGAGATTGCAAGAAAAGTAAGTGACAGGAAATCGAGATTTGCAGAACATTAAATAGCATGGAAAACTTAAATGCATAAACTTAAATTTTCATTGAATTGAAATGGACAAGGAATCGAAAATACTGAAACATAAAACTGCTGAATTTAAGTTGCATCAAAATAAATTACCAAGGAAAATACAGAAAGCGGTAAATGTACTCAGTGAGCAAGGAAATCCAGATTGCCAGAAGTTTCATGGTGTTCGTCGTTTCTCCGGTAGACTTTTCACTACTGATTCTGTTCTCTGCCAATTTCTGCCCCCCCGTTCCTTCCTCCTTTGCTCTATTTATAGGGCATCCTTCAAGCCTTCGAGAGCGGTTAACGCGATCGCTACCACGTTCTACGTGTGTATGACGGTTTATCTTCTATAGTTTCCCACGTTCTCACGATCTCCGACTTTTTTCCCATGATTTCAAAACTGCTCTTTATACGTGCATTCGACTTACTTCCTTTCTCGATTTGGCCAAAGTCTCGATGTCCACATTGGCTTTCTTTACTCTCGATTTTGTATTTTTCGAGAACTTCGAATTGCTTACGATCCCTTTTTAACCCTGATCTTATATGACTTAGTTTTTATTCGACAATAGTCATTTGATTATTATTCATTCGATTCTCGATTGTGCTTCTCGATGCTGTATGCTACGTATTTCTAATTAGACATCGAATGAATTTTTGTTTATCTTATCGAGTCATATTTCTTTCCTTCGGTTTCGATCGCTTTTCTCGATTTGTCACTAACAGTATGTCATAGTATTAGTCAACATCAATCATCTGAATAATTAATACGAGTGACAAATCTTACTTTTAAGTACTAATATATTTGGATATTTTTAGAAATTAGACAAAAAAAATGTTATATATTTTTAAGGATCGAAAAAAGTACTAATTTTTTTTCTATCATACCATTATATTTATCACTTGTCTTTAATTTTTTTTTCTTTTCACAAAGCTACGATAAATCACATTTTTTGTTACCATAAATCACATTTATTGTTATTATATATTAAAATAAGATATAAACGTTGAGGAATTTTCTTTATATAAAAAAGATGAAAAATATAATAATAGTATACTAAATAAAAAAAGATACAAAATAATAAGATACAAAATAAATTATGTATCTATATATTTTTTGTTTTCGAAATCCAATAAACAAATAAAAATTAAACTTGTCGTGATATAAATAAATAAAATATAACTTTAGTCTAACCTATTTATTATATATTTTTAATTTTTATATTATAACGTTTTAAAAAAATTGTCTAATTAGTGAATTTATAAATAGATGATAAATTATTAATATTTGATAAATTTAAATAAACATAAAAAATATGTACCATTGAATTGATTTTTCTTCTACAATTATCATAATTTAATTAATTTATAAGAAAACAAAATAAAAATTATGGCATGTTTGTATATACACTCTGTGACTTTTATAAAGACTTTATGTAAGTATTAGAGGATATGGTAATTCTATATTGTAGACAGACAAAATAATAAAAAGAAAAGTAAAGATCAAAATTAGTTTCATGGAGATCTTTAACTCCGACAAAAAATGTAGAAAAATCAAGAGTAAAATGCAATCAACACTGCTTTATAGTTTTTATTTACAATTTTTAGAGTAGATAATTTGAATAGTGTTATAAGATGTATTCTGATTTTCTGACAATAATAATTTATTCATAGATTTTTTTTATTTGAGTACAACAATAAAAGTATATTAACACATGTAATATAATACATTTATAATATTTTTATTATAATACGTAAGTACAACGAATCTATTTCCGCCAACTTTGCCTCTCATTGGTTACTTTCTTGGGCCACGGATTGCGATCCTAGTGCTCCTACTTTAAAACATGCGTAACCGTTAATTTCACTTCCCATCAACGGCCACCCGTTTCCCTTCTCATCTTTCAAAAAAGCTTTCACAATTCCCGCGCCATTCTCTTTTGCTTCCCCCCTTATATATGAATTCCCATTTCCATTTTCTTCCGCACCAGTTGCACTCTACTTTCACTTTCCCTTGAAATAAAAATCCTAGCTTTCTGCCTCCAATCTCTCTTCGACATGGCTCGTACGAAGCAGACAGCTCGCAAGTCTACAGGTGGCAAGGCCCCGCGTAAGCAGCTGGCGACCAAGGCTGCCCGGAAGTCCGCTCCGGCGACCGGCGGTGTGAAGAAGCCTCACAGGTTTCGTCCAGGGACGGTGGCGCTGAGGGAAATCAGAAAGTACCAGAAGAGCACCGAGCTTCTCATCCGGAAGCTTCCCTTCCAGAGACTCGTGAGGGAAATTGCGCAGGACTTCAAGACCGATTTGAGGTTTCAGAGTAGCGCTGTTTCTGCGCTTCAAGAAGCTGCTGAAGCCTACCTCGTTGGATTGTTCGAGGACACCAACCTCTGTGCGATTCACGCCAAGAGGGTTACCATTATGCCGAAGGATATTCAACTCGCTCGAAGGATTAGAGGAGAGAGGGCTTAGAAAGATTGTTATAATGTTTAATGGTTAGGGTTAGGGTTCTCATATTGAAGGGTATGGTTGGATTTGACTCTTGGTTGTAAGAATGTTGGAAGTGCTTCTCTGGACTTTGAAATGTGAAATCTATTTTCTTTTAGAAGTTCAAGTCTCTCTTTCTTGATATCTACTTTACTTCTTTATTTTCATTTGAATGCTGATTTTAAAACGAAACACTGGTTTTTTGGAAAGATAATAATGTGATGTGAATTGGTGAAATTTGGGCAACTCTTGAAGTGAGTTGTCTTACAAGGCGTTCGGAATGGTATATGTATATTGTATCTTTTGAGAAGTCGTGCACATTTTCTTCTCTCAATCTCAATCTTGAGTTTATCGATTGTGTTAGTGATTTGTGTGGTAACACTCTGGTTAGGAGGGGCTAATTGAAAGTAAGTTTCTGTCGAAGGAATTGTACTGATACGGTATTCTAAAGCTTTGTCATTTCGAGAATCGAGACACTCCAACCCTTTCACTTGGTTTTTTGATTTGTCAATCGAAATTTAGTATTAATCAAAATTCTGTCAAGCATTGTCTTACGAAGGCTGCTTTGAATCTGATTGCTAGACATTTCAATATTGGAATTAGGAATGATAAAGTGAAGTGGGGTTGTGGAGATGATGTCAAGCCAATTATCATTTAAATGCACATTTCTTCGAACTTTTGAAGGGGAATGTGCATTGTGCACACTGCAAGTTTTCTTATTCCTTTTGATGCCCATTTCAAGCACCTAGTTATAGGATCTTGGAAAGTCTGGTGTAGTCTCAATTTCCCGACAGTTGCCATATGCATCCTAAATTTTATTCAGATTGATTTAAGCAAAGTTTCAAGAGTGTAGGAAGTTACTGTGGAGTGTCCATTGCTACAATTTTGTGAATTTTCCTTCTGTTCCATCGATTGTGTGCTTTAAGCCATACCCAAGAAGGTGGTGTACTTCATTGTAAAGATAATCGCACTTGCTAATCATTTTTCTGTTGTGCTTTTTATGGACAGTTCTATCCGAATCTTTCAATATTGTGGCAGCATTGAATGATAGCATTGCCTTTTGAATTTCTCTGTGGGCAGCTAAATGTCTAATAAAGTTGATCGCTTTATAGGTAACTTGATGGCATAATCCGTGAGTAAGATCTATGAACAGATGATTCTCGCATCATGCATCCTTTTTCATAATGATGGTTGAAAATAATTCAATAAATTTCAATGAATTTTATTTTGTAATCTGAGTTTGCAAAAATAACTCTTGCATAGGTTGTAATTGAAACTTGGTTTTAAGATCAAACCTAAGTGTTTGAACGTATTTTGGAAGAAAATAAAATATAGGAAATTGATACTTTGAAAACCCATTCAACTCTTATAAACAATTCTATTTTAATATTATAATAATAATTTTAACTTATTTTTATTTTTATTAAATCATTCCATAGATTATTATATTAATAAAAGTGAGTTGTTTGAAGGATTGTATGATATTAGTGACTCGAAAGAGTTTGATCAGTAAACCAAACATGACCTAATTGTATTTACAATCTCTTTTATATGATTATAATCGCGAGCAAATATTTTAAATTATCCATTAAACCTAATTTATTTATAATTTATTTTTTTAAGAGTGATGATATTAAAATAAATAAAAACTATTATTATAATATTAAAATAGAGTGGTATGGATTTAGGTTTTGAAAGTATCAATTTTTCTTTTTTACAGATATGTTATCATAAGTTGGTACAACAATTTAATCAATTTATTGTGAGATTAATATATTATATTGTAGAGGTTTACACTTGAATAATTAAGCAGCAAGCAGATTTTCCACAAATCATTTTATTAATATTATAATAAAAGCTAAATTGCAATAACTTTATATTTTACATTTCAATTAATTAAATTAATTCTTGATCATATCTTAAACTATTAAATTTGAGGTTCAATTGGATAAAAAAAAATATATATGAAAAATTGAACACTAGATTAAAGTTCACGATTTTTCTAAAAAATCGAAACTAAAACTGCAAGAGAAAAAGACAAAACTAAAAACACATTTTTCTCAAAAGAAGAATTAAAAATACAATTTGGCTTATTACAAATTAACAAGTAATTTAGATATCTCCATATGAAAAAAAAGTGAGTAATTTTGTAACTGATATTCTTTCATTATAAATTGTCAAAATTGACTATAATCCTCAAATTTAAAAGTAGTCTTAAAGGCTTTCTAGTATTAAAAATATGATAATCAAATATTTAAAAATGTTTTAAATATGAAGAAAATATTAACATAGGAACTAAATTAAAAGTTATCAGATATTTTCCAAAAAAGGGGTTTCTTAAAGGCTTCTGTTTCTTTCTAAACTTTACAATTGAAGTTTGACTCTGAGGCTGTGATGTGAGACAACGTGACTGACTCTGAACTTCCTCCACTTTTCGGTGTTACTTTGTGGCCGTGAAAAGCTCTCGTTGTCTGCGCCATTGCTACACTACCCAGGTCCCATCTCTGCCATATACGTCACGTTCCCAACTCTGCATTCATCTCTTCATAAAAAAATATATATAACAAAAATTCAGCATTTTCTAAAATTCTGAAATTGCATTTCCCGAATTTCCAAACTTCTGCTCGATTCAGCTGCAATCTTTACTGTCACCAACTAATATCAGGTGGGTTATATTACTTTTTACTTTTTGTGTTTTTTGTTTTCAGATAATCGTTGGTGATGGCTCTAGATGTGAGGTTAAGGAGATAAGAAGAAAAGGAATAGCGGTATGTTGTGTTGTGTTTTCATAGTTTATTTATTGGTATACATCCTTCTGTTATTCAATTTCAATGATGAGAGAAAGTCCAATGTTGTATGAATTGATTGCATAATATTATTATGCAGAGATAAAATGGGAGCTGCTCTGTTACCTGATGCAGCATTTGGAATATTTCCACGCTGCTCCATTGTTCCCAGGCACCCTTTGGTCTGTAGAATAACTTCTCCAGACGTGAGGTTAATTAGAAAGAGGTGGGGTTATATAACTGTATTGTGTTATGTTTTTCTGTTACTTTCCACTTTATCTTACTGCTAATATATTTTTTTGCAGAAATTATTTCTTTGCTGACAAGAGGATCTCCAAATCAGCACACATTGTTTTTTCACACTCGGTAAGGAGTTGTGTACACAGCTTAGGAGGGATTAACATGCTTCTAAGAAAAAAGTTTAGTTGGTATTTATCAATGTGTAGAAGATTAACTAATAATGCTATAGTACAATATAAAGTTTGGAAGTTTAATCAAGCTATAATTTTTTTTTGGAATTGGCTAAATAAAGTCACTTAAAACTTTTGCGTAGAGATTGAGTTTTGCTTTTCAGCTGTATACTTCCAAGTTTTAGCAAACGTGTGTAAATCCAAGTTTTCGCAAACCTGGTTGAAAAATTCAAGTGTGAGTTTAAGAGACCTTAATTAAAAATGAGAAAGTGAGTCATTGTTCAGAGTGTAATCTAAGCCAATGCCGATAAGTTATAAAAATAGCCAATATTTTGAATAGGAATTCTATATTTAGTGTTCAGCTTATCATATCTTTCTTGTTGCTTATGAACTTATCATTTGGCCTTTTCTTTTCTCTTCAACTTACCTTTTTGCAACTCGTTTCTTTTGACAGTTCAAACCATTTTTCATGAATCTACAACTTGATTAACTTTACAAATTAAGTTGATATAATTTTTGCTAAATTACATATAATATACACATGTTATTCAGCGTTGTCTACCCCATTTACACATTGTTTAAAAGTGTTATTTTTATTGCATGTGATTTATCTGTTACACTTACGCATTTAAATTATACTTATACTTTGTTTCAAAATAGTAAGAGTTGGTGGTGGAGTGGAGATGGGTAAGAGAATAAGGTATTTTAACCTAAGATGAGTGCTGAAGAATCGCAGGTGTGTAAAATTGGAGGAGTAACAATTTACAATAATTTATGGGTTATGCGTAATTTTTTTTTTTTTATTTCTTAATTTGTATTGCTTCATCTAACAATGGTTTTTTAGCTTTACAGTCTTTACTTGGAAATGATTTTTCATAGCTAATTACTATACAGACCTGTAGACTAAAATTCATCTTGGAAGCCCAAAACCTGTACTTTTCTGTTGACCAGTGTCATTTTTCTGGAAAATAAAGAAAATGAATTCCTGATGTAAATATTTGTAGTTTAGGAACAATTGACTACTTGAGTGGTTAATGGTTAACACTATTCTTTGTAAACTGTTAACTTTATGTGTAATTTTGTTTTTCATACATTGTAATTTTAATCAGAAATTATTTTTTGTTCCCCCTGGTAGAAATCTCCGAATAAATCTCTCCCATTCTTACACTTTAATCTAGTTCTTTATGAAATGCATGTTTTGGAGGCTGGTCATTATGAATAATTGGGTTTCAAAAAGGTGACCAAGTTTCACATATCTTTTAATGATACTCTAATTGAGTAGGTATAAATGACAAGGGCTTGCACTTTTTGATAGTGGGGGAGTGACCTATATTTATTTATTTCTGTGACAGAATGATTCAGATGACACATTAACAGACGTAGTTGTGGATCAAGACGATCTTTCAAGAAGAAATGATGTTATAGAAATAGAAGATGAATTAGTGATAGCCAAAAAAGCTCTTTCAGAAGCACAACACAGACAAGAGGTTATTGAGAAAGAGAGAGATCAATTACTTGAAGAACTTGCTCGTTCTGAGGCTAAAAAACAGGAATACATCAATGCCATTTTACATGACAAGGAAGTAGCTATAGCAGAACTTGAGGCTGCGAAATCTCTTTTCCAGAAAAAGCTGGAGGACTCAGTGGAAGAGAAGTTCACCTTGGAGTCTAAGCTGGTCCTTGCCAAACAAGATGCTGTTGATCTTGCTGTGCAGGTTGAAAAATTAGCTGAGGTTGCTTTCCAGCAGGCAACTTCTCATATACTAGAAGATGCTCAACTCAGAATTTC